ATAATAAAGCTTATGTCTTACTTACAAAAGTCTATTTGTTAATATTATTATAAAATATATACTGTTTTCTATAACTTCATAGCATACAGAAACATGTCTAGGAGGATTAAATTGTCATTGCAATTGGAGGGCAGACTTTGGTTAGCTCGGTGGGGAGATGCCAGGGATGGCAGTAATGGAAAGATCCATTCAATAGAGCAGATTCCAGAGAAATTGGTAGGCAATGCTTGGAAGATTGTTTTATTACAGAGAAAAATCCACCCTGTAGAAAGTCATTTGCCATTGGGTAGGGAGATATATTGTTCAATAAAACAATTTGGTGAGGGTAGAGGAAGGGTGCAATCTATGCATAGACAATGTCTCTGGACAATTAGTTAAGCTGGCAAGGCTGACTCTGCATGAGAAACAGGCCAGTTTTGTTGGTTAGCTCTATCCCCAGTGATCTTAATGTAGTCATCATATTTTATAGACAGGCCCATAAGATTATTTTTTAACAATTGATGGACCAAACTTCCTTCTTCTATGCAGAAGGAAATTTTGTTCATAGTATGAATAGTCAATTGTAACCAAAAGTTCTGGTTATTTACAGAATTTAGGGGGCTCACAGAAACACCAACATTTAAAGTAGCACTTCAATAGATAGTATCCAACGGGTGTCCCTTTTTAAGCTTAACACAATATTGTCCTGAAATTCTGGGTAAGCTGGATATCTATAGATTGCAAAATTTATATTTTTTCTTTGAGACTGGTCTGTGAGGTTTTTCCATGGTCCCTCTCTGAATACCTGACTAATTTCTTGGTTATCTTCATACAATCTGATAGGGCCAATTATTGGATCCTGACAGGAGTAACTAAAATTTAATATTAGTTGGGATCTTGCAATGGCAGGTTCTACCTTGGCTACAGAAGGTGTGCAGGGTGTTTTGAGGCTAGCATAGCTAAAACTCAGAAATACATATATATTACAACAAGTAAAAACTATTAGCACAATATTCACAATAACAAGGAAAGCAATAATAAGTTAATGACAAAACACTAACCCTTTGAAATTTTAATTTTAAAGGATTCATGTTTAGTCACTTTCCACCTTTGGCCACTAAATTCTCCTCCTATGGGTTCTTCAGGTGCCTTTTTAAGCTGAAAATGGTGAATCCATGCAGGAATACCAGCAACTTTGACTGCAGAGAGAGTGCGGAGAATGACCATGCAAAGGCCTTTCCACCTGGGTTTAAGGCTGTTGGTTTTTCAATGTCTTATCAGCACAGCATTGCTGGGATGGAATGAATGATCAGGCAATCTGTGTCCAGTGGGCTGAGCAGCCTGAAACTGAGAAAAGATATTATCCATGATTAGTTGTAACCCTTTCAATGCCTCTGAGACTGGAATGTCTCCTAGCAGCTATAGGTGTATTCTGGGAACCATAGGTGGTGGCTGCCCATAAATTATTTCATAAGGGGTAAATTTTTTCTGATAAGGAGTGCAATGGGTCTCCAACAGGGCAAAAGGAAGGAGATCCACCTAGTTAACACCAGTCTCAAGGATTAATTTAGTCAGTGTTTCCTTCCATGTTCTATTCATTCTTTCTACCTTCCCTAAGTTTTGAGGATGCGTAGTTTCCAGTTTATATTAAGGGCCTTTGAAATCAATTGAGATAATTTGGCAATGAAGGCTGGGCCATTATCAGACCACAAAATTAGAAGGAGGCCAAATCTAGGAACAATCTCAGTTATTAGTCTTTTAACTATTATTTGTGCTGTTTTGGTCAGGTTTAAAAAAGCCTCTGCCCAGCCTGAGACAGTGTCAACAAAGCCTAACAATTATTTATATCCATATAGTCCAGGATTAATTTCAGTAAAATCCAATTCCCCAAATTCACCAGGTATAGTACCTTGGCTCCTGTTCTCCTGTGGGAGTTTGTTCCTTTTAGTGTTTACCTGTGCACACGTAATGCACCAATTTGAGATGTCTCAAAGCATCTCTCGATGTTCTGGAAGCCAGATGTAGGGTGAGATCAATTCTGACATTTTCTTGGGGGGATAAATGCATAGCTTGATGAAGATCAATTAACCATTTTTTCCCTAGTATCTTAGGTATGCAGATTTTTCTATCTGGGAGGGTCCACAAGCCATGACACTTTTGTTTGACCCTCATCAAGGAGTATAAGTTTATTTCTTCTGTAGTGTATGAAGGGTGCACCTCCCAAATTTTAACTGGAAATTTGGATAATTCAAGAGTTTTAGGACAGCTTGGTATTTTGGCTCTCCAAGGGCTATTTCTCTGGCTGTTTGGTTGGCCAAGTTGTTACCTTGGGTCTGAGTACTATCATCTTTGCAGTGTCTAGGCCAGTGGATAATAGCCAATTTATCTGGCAACAAAATTGCCTTCAGAAATTGAAGAATTTCTTCTTTATTTTTGATGGTTTTACCATCTGAAGTTAAAAGTCCCCTTTGTTTGTATATCTGACCATGCACATGTGCCGTAGCAAAGGCATAATGGCTGTCTGTATCGATGTTCACCCATTCTCCTTCTTCTCATCTTAATACTTGCATCACAGCAATGATTTCTGCTTTTTGTACTGATGAGACCCTGGGCAAAACCTGTGCCAAAATAACGTATTTTTGACCTGTAACTACAGCTGCCCCTGCATACCTTATTTCATTCCAGACATAGCTTCTCACATCGGTGTAAAGGTCTGTGTCTCTGATGGTGAGAGGAACGTCAGTCAGGTCTAAGTACCTTGGATGACATCCAGCATCTCTGAGTACTCGTGAACTGGCTCCTCTGGCTTGTTGTCCAGCAGCAGGGTTGCTTGATTTATTGCCAGGGATTTATTGAAGGTTAATCTGTCTTTGTCAAGGAGGAGAGCTTGATATTGAGTGAGGCAGGCATTCGACATCCAGTGATTTGTGGCATCACTCAATAGAGCCTCCACTGCAATGGAGGCTCTATTGAGACCCAAATGGACATAGCCCCAGATGTTAGTTGTATTAAGACTGGTTTAGTTAGAGTCTGTCTCAGGGTAAGCTTGTCTGTTTTCTTCACCAGGAGTCCAGTAGCCACTATGGTTCATAAACAAGGGTCCATCCTAACAGGACTGGATCCAGCCTTTTTGAAATGTAGGCAATTGGTCTTTTACATGGTCCTAGATTTTAAGTAAGAACCCTTTTGCAATGCCCTTTTTCTCATGAACGTGCAGATGGAAGGGCTTAGATATATTAGGGAGTGTTAGGGTCCAAGCCTGTACCAGAGCCTTTTTTCATTTTCCTCAGTACAAACTAAAGGTGAGTTGGCCCTTGCAGTTGCAATATATAAAGGCTTGGCAATCTCAGCAAATTCAGGTATCCAAAGGCAGCAGTACCCACCTGCCCCTAGGAATTCCCTAATTTGCCTTTGAGTAGTTTGAATTGAGATCTTCATTATGGCTTCTATGCAGGCTTGAGATAGCAGCCTTTTCCCTTCCCTCAGTTTATATACTAGATAAATAACTTGAGAACAGATTTGTGCTTTCTTTTTGGAGACTCAGTACCCCAATTGAGCCAAGGTTCTCAGTAAGCCTTGGATGGCCCTTAAACAGTCACTTTCATCCCTTGCTGCTAACAAAAGATAATCCACATATTGGAGCAAGCTTATCTCAGTGTACTCACTGCAGAAGAGGCTCAAATCTTTGTTGAGTGCTTCATCAAAGATGGTGGAGAACTTTTTAAATCCCTGAGGTAGTCATGTTCAGGTTAGTTGTCCTGATATCCCCTTCTCCAGATAGTCCATTCAAATGAAAAAAAATAGGCTTACGCAGTTTGACAAAGGAATAGAGAAAAATGCATCTTTCAAATCTAATATGGTGTAGACAGTATATTTTAGTGGCAACAGACTGAGTGATGTATAAATGTTTGGGACAGGGAAGTAAACAAATTGGCTTTTACCAATTTGTTTACTTCCCTGAAGTCCTATACTGGTCTGTAATCATGAGTCCCAGGTTTTTGGACCAGCAATAAAGGGATGTTTCAAGCTGACTGACATCTAATTAGTATTCCCTCTTCTAGGAGACATCTGAAATGTGTTTTTATTCCTTCTCTGGCTTCAGAGCTGATGAGGTATTGTCCAACCCAAATGGACATAGCCCCAGATGTTAGTTGTATTAAGACTGGTTTAGCTAACCCTGGAGGATTATCCTCAGCCCAAACTGTAGGAACTTTTTGGATTAATAGTTTTTTTCTATCTTTCCTCTAAAGCTTGGATAGGATTTTGAGAGAGCAGATATTCCTGACTTAATGGGCATGTTATAGTTAAGGCTCTTGTAGGACTCCACAGTTGTAGTGTAGACATCTCCCCTGAAAATGATATAGTTGCCTGAAGTTTGCTTGGGAGGTCCTCTCCCAGCAATGGGAAAGGGCATTCAGGGATAACAATGAAAGAGTGAGTCACAGTTTTTTGTCTTACATCAACAGTTCTATGTGTGGTCGACCTATAATTTTTAATTTCTCCTGCTTCCCCTTGTACTTTCTTAGTTTCATTAGTGAGGGGTCCTAGGGGCTTCTGCAACACCAAATGTGAAACCCCTGTATCCAGTAGGAAATTTACAGGTTGGCTCCCAATTGTGGTTACCATTGGCTCTCAGGAGCCTAGTTTAAAAGAAACATGGTCACCCTACTCTTCTAAAGTTAAAGCTGGTTTTGGCTAAGGGGCATTGGTCTGCAGCTGGAAAAATTCTTTTCTATTTTTTGGGGGGCATTGATTCTTCCAGTGTCTGGGCAATAAGCACACTGATCTATTCAGAGGGGAGTCTGTTATTTGCCTCTGCTGTGTTCAGTCTGCATCTGTCTGGGATTGAAAATTTCGGGAGTCCATAGCGCAGCTATTTTGGCCTGATTTACTTTCTTTATCAGTAGATCATCCCAGCTGTCTCTATTTTCAAACACCTTTTGGGCTATCTCCAATAGTTCTGACCTGCTTTTCCCAGCAAAGCCATTTATCTTTTGAATCTTTTTATGGATGTCTGAGGCTTACTGAGTTACAAAAGCCAGGTTAATGAGGTCAAATCAGGTTTGTCGAGTCGTCAGGGTCTATAAGAGTCTATAGATGGTAAGCCTCTAGGAGCCGTTTGAGAAATGCTGAAGGTGATTAATCTGGGCTTTTTTTTTTTTTTTTTTTTTTACCTCTGCAGCTTTAGAAAGATTGGTGGGCTTATTAGCTGCTCTCCTAAAAGCTTCTAATATAGCCTGGTGGTTATTGCTGAGTGCTCTTCTACCTTCAGGCATTCCATAGTCCCATTCTGGTCTCCTTTTAGGTAAAGCCAAGTTGATTACTTTTCTTTTCTTGTAATGTGTAAGAGAGTTTATTCCAGGCAGTGCTTTAGCTGCTTCTGCCAGGATTTGCTCCCTTTCCTCCATAGTGAAAAGCATATGGAGAATCTCTTAGCAGTCATCCCAGGTGGGGACATGATTTAAAAAGACAGAATCAACCAGGGAAATCAGAGAACTAGAATCCACATTAAATGAGGGATTCTGGTTTCTCCAGTTGTAAAGATCCTCGTGGAAAACAGAACATATGTATAGTGACCTTCTGGAACCTGATAGAAGAAAGGACAGGGACTGAGTCACCTCTTTTTCTGTGATGGAAATAGAAATTAAGCCGGACCATGGCCAGGGGAAGGGATTGAGTCAGGTCTTCCCTAAGGGTGACACGGTTGGATATGGGGAGGGGAAAGAATAGATGCTGGCTTCTATGGAGAAGCTGGAGCCAGGGGAGTGGTGGAGTGAGGAGGAGTGGTAGAGGTGGTTGAGGCAGTGGCTCAGGGGAGGGAGAGGGAGGCGGTGGTGTAGTTGGTGAAGCAGTCTCCACTGTCCCCACACTGGTGGCAGAAAGATTAAGAGGAGCCCAAGTGTAAGGGGGGGATGAGGTAATCCTACTGATTGACCTGTAAAACAGAGTTCTTTATTGAGAGCTCCTGGGGAGTTTTTCTGGTCAGAATCAGAGCCTGCTCTTTCTATCCATTCTGGACCATACAAATCTTTATATATCGGGGTGCATTAGTTGTTGCTTCTGCCCAGGGTAGGATATATCCTATCTGATCTGGGTGGCCAGGATTGCCAAAAGGGGCATTAGTTACAGCCCATGCCGCCTGGGGATTCTTGTCAATTCCAAAGGTGGGTCATTCTGTCTCACAGAAAGTTCAGAGGTGATTCTTAGTGTTGAAATAATCATAGTCCTGCTTAACAAAAGAGGGGTAAAGTTTATCAAAGTTCCTTAAAACACAGTTCAAAGTGGTGTCAGGTTGACCTGCTTTATTACCCATTTTGATGTCCAATTTCCTGGATGGTATAGTAAAAGCAAAAGTACATGTAGGTATTATCTGTAGTATAATAAATATTCTATTTTGATGTAAATATTAGTTTCATGGTATTTTACCTTTGAATAATTCATTGATCTGTATAGTTTTTATGCAGGTTCAGCATTTGACTTGGTTAATAATATTAAATTTATTAAATAAAAGGTGGTGGCAAGGAGTAGAATAGGTAAGATTTAGAAGGATACCAGAAAATACTTTGGAATGTAGGCTATATTAATTATGTTGATTATTGAGCTGGTTTTATGATGTGTTCAAATGTCAAATATAATATATAATACTTAAATACATAGGATAATCATATCTATAACTCTGAAAAGTGTGTTATGTGCCTAGGTTAAGATTACAAAGAAATCACACATATTAAATAATAAATTTTAAAAACTGAAAAATTATTCACTAAATATCAGTCTCAATATTTTGCAAAAGGCAATTTGTATAAAAAGGTAAGTGGAGAAAAAAATACACAGAAAATGAGCAACATTTAAAATAATAACAATAAACATACATTTGAAAGTATCAGGAAAGCCAGATGTTGCATTTAGAAAACAAATAATTTGAAAGAGTTCTGGTAAATTTTACAAGTAAACATTGATACTATTTATATTATATGTATGGCTATATATAATGATGCCTAACTTAATTATGGGGATACAGTGTAAAAAATGCATCATAAGGTTATTCTGTCATTTAGCAAACAATACAGGTTATTGACACATTACTAGATGGTATAGACCATTACATACCTAGGTTATATTGTAGCCATTAATGCAATAAAGTCCAGTACTGATATAAAAATTACGCCACATATAACTATAGAATTTAACATTATAACAATACATATAGATCTCATACTAAGATGAAAAATTATCCCTTTGGAAATAAAGACAGAATACTTAAAAAAAAATACTGGCAATTTGGACAATGAAAAAAGATAAAAACAGCATTGCAATAAATTACACAAAGAATGATATCATGTCCAAAGAATTCTACTTGGACAATGGTGTATGTATGTGACAAATATGCCATTATAACATTTTCTGATATGACTTGACAAAATTTTTAACTAGTAAGAAATACTTGAATATAAATATATATATATAAAATATGACAAAGTTAGTATAAGAAAAAATATATACAGTGTGTGTAGTGGTGTATAACATAATACCAGCTACTTGGTAGGTAAAAACAAAACTGCAAAATCCACATCAACCACGGCAACTTTGTGAGTGGCTTACTCAAAATAAACTTTACAAAGAACTAAAAGTAACAGAGTACTATGGCACAAATGTTTTTAATCTCTAAATTAAAAATAATAATGAGGGGCTTGGCTTGTGGCTCACTGGTAGAATACTCACCTAGCACAGGTGAGGCCCTGGATTCAATTCTCAGCACCATATAAAAATTAATTAATTAATTAATGATATTGTATCCAACTACAACTAAAGAATAAAGGTTAAAAAATTAAAAATAGAAATAATAATGAGAAGACAGAAAGATGGTTGTTTCCAAAGTTAAAGAATATATCTTTCTTCAAAAACTAGAAAATATTATTTATAATATTTATGATATTATACCATTAAGTGTATGAACTGGAATAACATTTCGGAAGAAATTATGCACCTCACATACAACAAAATACTTTCAAGAAAAGTAAAGAAGCTAGCTGGAATTGTGGCTCTGAATTGAATCCTCAGCACCACATAATAATAAATAAACAAAATAAAAGTCATGTGTCTATGTACAATTAATATAGTTAGATAGATAGATAGACAGACTACTTGGGAAAAAAAGCAGAATTGCAATATCAAAATCAGCCAGGGCATACACACACATGCACAAACACATGTGCGTGCACACACACACACACACACACACACACACACATATATATTCTTAGTTATACATAGACATAAAGATATATATGAAGATATATATATATATATATATATATTTCTTTTATATATAATTGTGTATCTATATATGTACATTTATACATACACAATTTTATATATATATATAGCAGCTGAGGCAAGAGTCTCTCAAGTTTCAATCCAGCCTTAGTAACTTTTCCAGGTCATAAGCAGCTTTGTGAGACACTGTCTCAAAATACAGTAAAAGGAAAGTTGTACAGTTGGTAAGCACCCCAGAGTTCATAATCTAATGTAACAAAAGTCAATGAAAAATGAAGTAAAGAAAAAAAAAAGACTCCAAAGAAGAGAAGTCAAGAGCCAGGAATGACAGCATATGCTTTCACTTTCACCAACTAAAGAGACTGAGAAATAAGAATCATAAATTCAAAGCAAGCCAAAGCAATTTAGCAAGACCCTAAGCAATTTACTGAGACCCTGTCTCATATTCATATACATATCAGAAAAGTGTCTAAGTGGTTAAATGCTTCTGGGTT